TTTAATTTTGCAACTTTAAGGGAAACTTAACGTATACGTACCGTTAAATAATCTTATCTCGAGCTTTGTGGCTTTTTTGTTGTTACTGGGACGGCATTTTCCATAATTTCCTGTATTTCCTGTGTAGATAGCTCACCGAATGTGCTTTTTTTCATCCATTTTTTTTGTCGACGAAACTTCGCTTTACGCGAAAAAGCTCATGCCGAGCGACATTTGCCGCTTTCATTTCCATATAAGGTCAAACGCAGGTATAATGGCTGGTAACCGAGATCCAGTGAATCAATCAGAAAGCTAGAATTGCATTATCCGAGGCTGAGAATTTAATAATGTATAATATTCCGTTATCGCGATCCCCGGAAAACTGATAACGGTTTGGTGTCTAGACCTTATTTATTACTGTTCCCTAACCATGACCATAGGGAGACAAAGAACTCACAAAGCCTATTATTATATGACAAAAGAGGCAGCGTTTCGGTACGAGTGGCAGCAGAAGTGTTTGTTTGGGATTAGCTGGAAATGTAGGTTCCTATAGGCACCCGTTTTCTACCCCTACGACTCAGGTGGCACTTGCGAGGTCATTGCCATTCAGCGCTAAGAGTTTAGCCAAGAGTAAAAAAACGGAATTACTCTGATCTGAAAGGAAATTAATCAAGCTGTGTGAAGGGCCTCCACAAGCATAAGATGCGTCTCAAGATTTATACAAAACAACTCGATTGATAATCTACAACACTTTTAGCTTCTGGACTTCTTAACCACATCGCTCGCTTCATTGCACACCATAAAACGTCAAAGCTATTTACATGACCAAAGAACAACGTCATTATTTCCAGCAGGGTCAGTTAAATTGTTGATATGTCCGATGAGAAACATCGTTTTCATTGAAATGGCAAATTTTTAACCATAATTCACGAAAATAAAACTGAAAATATAAAAAAGAAGCACTCTTTTTGGATGGAGGATGTCCACACTCAAATACGGTGAAACATCTTCACAATGGTCATCCAATCTGAGGACAAAAGGAACCAAGTCCAGCAATTGTAGACAGGCGACCTTTATTCGAAGGTTTCAATCAGTGTGAACGAACGTTAAAAGTCAGGAAAAGTAAACTTAACTGCTGTAGAGAGGAAGAAGAGATTTCGCCTTCTCCTGCTTATTTAAAGGAGTTTTTGTTTATATAAGAATCGCACCTACCACGACCATTTTGTCTTTATCCATGGTTTGGTATTTGCAGTAAGTCATCAAATCGTCTCCCTAAATACCGATAAGGAAACAAAAAGATAGCAGATAGAAAGATATTGGACTCATGGTGCAAAAAAAACAAAAAAAAAACAAAAAAAAAACGTGTATCGTAGTAATTCATTTGTTACTTTAGTTCGTCTAGTTCAGCTAGTGAATAAAATACGCCCAAAATGAATTAAATCACCTAGCGTGGTTTCGTGTTCTTTGGGCGCATTCATTTGGGTACAAAGATCGCAATTATTTGCATCATGTGCCCATGCATTTCTTAAGTACAACCGTTAGTTTTCATTTTTCTTTAACCCAAAGGAAATGGCAATACACTAAACGTCAACGTTTCGAAATGCTGTAAGTTTTTAACAGCACCTCCTGCGTTTTAGAACTCATTATTGATTCACCTTACACCGAAGACTCTTCAAAAGCCCCCCCCCCCCCCACCGACTAAGGAGCATTGATTTCACTCCCACACGCATAATGTGGTACAATTTCACTCACTGGTTTAACATGAACTTCATCTTTCAACACTTGGATATCCTGAAATGGAAGAACACAGTGGAGTCTGTAACTACAGTACTGTTGAACCCCTCCCTCTCAAGCGGCTACCTAGGGGGAAGTGGGAGGTGGCCGCTTAATAGGGGTTGGCCGGATAATTAGCATAAGGCTTAGTAGAAATGTGAATTTAACCTAATACAAACTTGCTTGAGGACAACATAGAATTACGTGAAGCAAATAATAAACCTGTCTTTTAATGTTCTTATCAGCATCACCTCCTTTTCCAAAACAAAGCCACACTACGTGTATTAAATTTTGATTGGAAGATTAGAAGATTGTAACGACTGTACAAGGGTACAGCAAGGGCCCACTGGAATAATACACCCTACTCGGTTTGTGCAATACAACCCTTTGGCCCACTAGAAAATATGGACTGGACTCTGGACTGGCCTCTGGACTGGACTCAGGACTGGTCTCTAGACAGGCGAGCGTTTACTAAATTGCTTAACAAAGTTAACAATTAACTTAAAATGAACAATAAGCTTGAGTTGTGTCTTTATATAAAGCGATACATGATTTTGTAACCTCGACTCGACAAAATCCGACCAAATGCAGTAGGCAAGAAGTGAAGCACGAGATTCGCATAGCTGTAAACAAAAAGCCACTATGGGCCCGGGGAACTTCAATAAATGTATGTATGTATGTATGTATCCCAAGCATTTCACACCATCATCGTATTATGTACATTAAAGGTTTTGAACTGTGTCACGAGAGTGATGAGGACCTTAGGAAAGAAACTTTTGTATTTCCTATGTACTGTTGCCAACATGCCATGTGGTTGCTTTTCTCTAATGCCTCTGGTCACGGTGGCCGTATTACTTTCTAAATCTATTAGTTTCTGTGATAGAACATTGGATGCAGTAGAAAACGGTCGGCTGAGTAATAAAAGAAATATATTTCTTTTCTTGGTAATGCATGGCATACAGATCGTGCAGTCTGGTTCTTATCCAAATATATTTGTGGCATACATCTTATATTTAAACTCACTTGTGTGTTATTAAAAACGTAAATTGTATATTGCGTAACGCATAAACATGGAAGGTGTGTATCCCATTTCCATTTTCAAATATTTCCATTTTCTGATGTGCATTGAAGTTTCACATCTCTTGATTAAGGTCCAGGTCAAACGCTACACTTCACATGAGCTGAACCTAATGACAGCTTGGGTCGACTGAAATAACTAAAAGAACGCCTGTTCGAGTCAAACGTCGAACCTAATTCTGTCGAACCGAACTGTTAAACCAAACAAATACAAAAGCGGTCTTGTTGGTCAGTGGTTTTTCAAGGTAAAGTCAAAATGGCGCCTTTAGACCATTGATTATACGTTTGGCTCGGCTCATGTGAAGATCGGAGTTTGACCCAAAGTCGGTCTTCAGGCGTTATTCACGGCTGGCCAGGCGTGAAGGAAGCCTCAGCCGGTCCAAATAAAATCAGTCGAACTTAATTGGGTCAAACGCCGAACTTCACATGAGCGCAATTGGTTGAATTGGGTTCGGCTCATGTGAAGTACGGCGTTTGACCCGGGCCTTACTTTCATTGGTCAATTACAACGTTAATGTAGCGATGTCACGGGAAAGCATGCAACTCTCTTACGGCAGGCACAAGTCTTAAAAGGTCCCCCAAATCATGGTAAACTTAAACAATCGAAGAATGATCATGAGAACAATGGGTTAAAATACCTGAAAATTAAAATCGTAGTTGTCATCGCGTGCGATTTCTGGTAACTCAACCCCATCACGAACATGTTTCGTCCATATTCCACGTCCTCACAGAATCGAGAACACAAACAAATTAAAAGTGAAGAGATGAAAAATCGTGAAATTACAAGTTAGGGTAACATGGCTTGCAAACACCATTCAGACCGGGAGTTAAAACGTTTAACAGTTTAAAGGTCATCAATCAAATGCAACCAAAAAAGCAAAACGTTAAGTGGTGTTACCATAACAGTCATGCTTGACACGGAGTCATGTCATGTTTGCTCAAATGTGACGTTTCAGTTTTTTTCCCTGTCCCAGTTCCCACTATCTGGTTTCCGGTAGTAGTTTTGTCTGCCTGGCAGACATAGCAGGTTGCATCTAGTTTTCTTTCATCGTCTTAAAACATCCGATTATTAAATTGCAGTTCATTTTGGTCAGTCGATAAGTGAAAAAATAGCGCATGTAAGATGAAGAAAAGAAGGTGCTAGATTGTTCATAAGTATGCGATGACCACAGGCCAGCTTACATTGTCTGTGAAGTTCACTCATTATAATACCCATTTAGGAAAACCCATCAAAGCTGAAGAACATTAAACATTTAAATTGACGATGATTACATACCTTGTAAATGGGTGTGAAGGAATGCAGCAAACACATTTATTCCTTTCTCTGGTAGCTTTGTTGACTTGAGACTTTCCTAAGTCAAGAAAATGAAACAAATTAGCAGGCTTATGCCCAACAAACTTGCCTGAGTCGTACCTCAGTGTAATTCTAAAGTTACTGGGAATCTGCTCCCCGTAGCACATTCTTCTCCTACGTGAGGGTTTGACGCGGTTTGGCTAAAGACGGCTAGAAGATGATATATTTGCATCTTACCTCACTGCATTCTTTGGGGCAATACCCGACGGTCATCCACGTTTTTTGTTTGGGCGGAATTACAAAGTATGGTAGCGACGCTTCCCCAACCAATAGTATGCCAGCATCGTATTTTCGGATATTCGACGTGTAGAAGAAACGCAATCCAGAGCTGTCTTTGCGTCCTGTTGGAATAAAATAACTGTCCGTCTAAGGATTAGGTACGTAGCATTTTTCTCTAGCCTACATACGTCGAAATCTTCATTGTGTTGAGATACAGAGTGACTTGGTGTAGATATATGACATTACATTTATTCAGTGTGTGGAGGTTAAAGGTTTTAAGTATCACATTTTTCTTGTGAACTGTAAAGAGATCCTGTGGGCCTTGGTTACTGCTAACTTACTTTTATTCCAAACAATGGTACAAACAGAACTCAGCAAACTAGAACGAGATAAAAGCACACCGTCGAATCCGCCACGTGTTCCTCCTGACGCATGCGCGAGACCTTTAACCGCAGACCTAATATGTTTACGTTAACTACACGTAGTATATAGAATTTTGAGGAGGATTTGAATATCTTGTTTCAAGTGCACTGAGTGCAACTAAAGTTTCGCCCGGAATTCACATGGGGTCAGCTGCTGCCAAAAAAAGATAAAATCATTGCTAGTTGAAGGAAATAACCATATAACCATAAGCATGCAGCAAAACTGACTAGTAACGTTTTTTGTGATTTTTTTTTAAAAATAAATAAATGAACGTAATGACCTTCAATTCCTTTTGGATTGTCATAGTGTATCTCCAGCATGTAGCTGTTTGGAGAATCTTCTGTTCCAATGTTATAACCAACGTTTGGTGGGTAATAAAATGCCTTCAAAAAGTAAAAAAAGAAAAAAAAATTAAAAAAATAAGTAAATTAAAACTATATGATGAGTAACTGGCTTGATTACGTACTACCACTTTGAAATTAATAGAATTTGGTTCACTGTGATTTTCAAGTACAATTTAATGATCACGAATGAAAACGTTCGAACTCGCGGAAGTTCAACTCAAACTGCAAAACTCTCCACCTCAGCTCCAACGGCCCAAGCAGCCACCACACTGTAGAAGTAGCATTCCAAGAATGGCATATTGGCGTAGTCATGGCAATCGAATCCAGGACCGTAATGCAAGCTTTCATTAAACTGTCCACGATTGTGACACTCGTAGATCAGCAAGTGATGTA